TTAGAACTAAAAACATGGAGTAAACGGCAGTTAGTTAACATCATAGCCATCCCTAATTCAGAAGTGATAGACTAGAGGAAAGGCAGTTAGTCAATATCATAGCCATCCCTAATTCAGAAGTGATAGACTAGAGGAAAGGCAGTTAAACAACATCATAGCCATCCCTAATTCAGAAGTGATAGACTAGAGGAAAGGCAGTTAGTCAACATCACCCACTGCCAACTCTTGACTACTCTAATTTAGCTGAATAGTAGCAACTGACTGTCAGTCTTATAACGCAACCACGTCCCTAGAGAGTGGAGCGCCTTTTTGTGTTAACAGAACACTAACTATGAGCTGTCCGGGTACGCTAACCATTATGCTACGCCTCTTTATTTAAGATCGATGACGTATTGTGACAGCTGATGAGTGAACTATGAGTACTCCGGGTACACTAAATATTATGCCACGCCTCTTTATTTAAGATCGATGACGTATTGTGACAGCCGATATGTGAACTATGAGTAACCCGGGTACACTAAAGATTATGCCACGCCTCTTTATTTAAAATCGATGACGTACTGTGATAGCTGATGAATGAACTATGAGTACTCCGGGTACACTAACCATTATGCCACACCTTTTTTATTTAAGATCGATGACTACTGTGATAGCTGATGAGTGAACTATGAGTACTCCGGGTACACTAAAGATTATGCCACGCCTCTTTATTTAAGATCGATGACGTACTGTGACAGCCTATATTTGAACTATGAGTACTCCGGGTACACTAACCATTATGCCACGCCTCTTTATTTAAGATCGATGACGTACTGTGACAGCCTATATTTGAACTATGAGTACTCCGGGTACGCTAAAGATTGTGCCACGCCTCTTTATTTAAGATTGATGACGTACTGAGACAGCTGATGAGTGAACAATGTTTTGATGTCCCGGATTATTCAGACAATAGATTTAACAAGAGATAACAAAGTTACAAGGGTAAAAATTCCTGTTCTAATTTAATTTCAATTTTTTTTTAAACTACCGAAAATATCGATAAGAACGAGAATATTCATTAATCAAAGCATTCTAATAAATATAAATATTTACTTTTTAAGACGCTAGATATTAAGTTAGCTCCATTGTTTACTCCATGTTTTTAGTTCTAATACATATATATTAAATCAGGAGCTAGAATGGTTTATTACTGTAATGTTTCCTGTTATTACTCTACTAATAAACAAAAATAAACCAGCTAGATATTAAGTTAGCGCCATAGTCAACATCATAGCCATCCCTAATTCAGAAGTGATAGACTAGAGGAAATAATTCAGAAGTGATAGACTAGAGGAAAGGCAGTTTTCCATTAGCACAAAATAACAGTGTACCTCAATCACACACACACACATATATACATTCTTCGTTCTGCGAAAATTAATGAAAACCCGCTGCAGATCGTAACATGTAGCACTGAGTAACATACCGTCTGCGATAAGCCAGTCCATATGTAACAGTCGTGACTTGCCTCTATTCAAGATAAGCGTTCCAAACTCCCCCAACATGCATGATTCGGAGGTGAGATTGAAGATGGAGAATATGGAACATCTTAACGTTTCTTTTCTTTTTTTTTCTTGTAAGCAGCGGGTTTGGCAGATTATAATAGTTGGGATATAAGCCGTGACCTTCTTCCACACCATAACGTCGCCAAATTGCGGGCGATAGGGGGTCAAGTTGCGTGGGAACGTTGATATAGGCCAGTTAACAGGTGATTTCCCCCGTACACGTGCAGGTCCACGTTTGTCCAGGGAATGAATTAAACAGGTAATGTTTGTTTTAATGTGTATCGTGGGAAGTAGAACATACAGTTGTAGTCCCTCGGGGAAGAGATATAGACTGGCCGAGCAAGAGATCAGAACATTTTAAGGCCTAACAAACCTCTGATGTTCTAATTCCGAGCTACTACGATGAGATAAACCTCGATGAAGAAATACACATTTAAGGACCAACCTTTACCGCTTTTAGATCTCCACCCACAATTCCATACTGTCCAAAATTCTATTCTAAGGTCTTAAACTAGTTAATCTACCTTAACTAAAACACCATCCTATCACAGTTAGATGCATGACCTCACCAAAGACAGTGAGAAACGGAATATTAGGTCGTTAAATCGTTTACAGACAGCACAAGTCCTCAAGATTATCGACCATTCGCTCACACCACATTCTAACTGTAATTATCTGACTAAGGTCACTAACCGAAAGTGTATAATCTGATAATATGTAGGTTGATTTTACGTGTTATTTCTGTAGTTTATATTAACTCTAGGACGTTACCTTTCTTCGGGTCAGACTGGTAAAGGTGTGGTATGAGTGGCCTGTGATGCCCAAGTGTATATCTTATCATGTGACGAAAACGAAATACTGGGTTCTAGTATGACAGTTTCGGCTACTTTAAATACAGGTTTCAAGAAAAGGACGTACACGTATATTTTAATTTAGTTTAAGTTTTCTTTTTAAAATTTTGCGCAAAACAGTTTACAAAGGTACCTACGCATAACTATCCCTAATTCAGATGTGACAGACTAGAGGAAGAGCAGTTAGTCAACATCATAACCATCGCTAATTCAGATGTGATAGACTAGAGGAAGGGCAGTTAGTCAACATCATAGCCATCCCTAATTCAGAAGTGATAGACCAGAGGAAAAGCAGTTAAACAACACCATAGCCATCCCTAATTCAGATGTGATAGACTAGAGGAAGGGCAGTTAGTCAACATCATAGCCATCGCTTATGTTCCTTCTCATAATCTATGTACTTTAGTTTGTAGATTTATAGAATTTTCTAGAATTCTCGTTATTACATCAGAAGCATTTCTTGATCAATGTTTTCAAATAATATCCTAGTTAACTATGATAACAAATTAATGATAATAATTTTATTTTTGTTATGCATGTTACATAATGTTAATAAATTAATTTCATTAGTTTATCTGCATGTTTGGTTTACAAAAACTCCTAGTGGTAATTTGAAACAATTAAGTTTTATGGTAAACTTTACCCCAGCATGAGCTCAGAGTTTGAAGTTCTGGAGGTATCCCAGAAACTGAGGTAATATATAAGATATATTCTGTTGCATGTGCGTTAACCCAGCATCATCAGAACAATTGTGCCATGATTACGCCAGCAAAATTCCAACATCTTTATCCCATTTTTAACTGTTGTGTATCATGAGTTTACAGATTAGCTGGAAAGTAATTTTTGAAATTTATAAAAAGAGGAACAGAGGTAACTTTATAAATGTTTAATTGAAAACCTTATTTCAGTCAAGTGGGCTAGTGCATGATGTCAAAAGTCCCAATGATGGTACTATTATGAGTGTACGTAAGTAAAACCTGGATTTCAGGTCAGTGGTTACAAGGTTGTCTAATGACACCTGGTGGTTTTTATTTCAACATCAGACAAACATTTAGAAAATAATAATAACATTCAGGTTCAAATATGTTCAACAGTTATTGCACTGTGTTTGTGTTTAAGATACAGAGAGTTTATTAGTTTTGTAAAGACCATTATATTGTCTCAGTAGATGTGTTTATAGTTTCACAAACATAACTTACCCGCTGTAAGGTGGGCCAAAGTGACTCCAAGCAGCTAATACAGACACAGTAGCAGTAGGAAATAACCTGGGAATGAATGAAAGAAAGACTCGATGTAGCTACATGATGGGCTATCTGTGTCGTACCCACCACAAGTATCGAAACCCAATTTTTAGTGTTGTATGTTTTCAGACTTACCAATGAACCATGAGATGGGTAAAAAATAACAACAAAAGAATAAGCACGGCTTTCCATCAAAAAGTTTATGAAGTCTACGAAGATGAATATATCCATGTAAACAAAACTACAAGAAGGTTTGAACACTAATATTACTGTGTCCTTATATCAAAGAAAAAAAAATAGTTGCAAAATGTTCTATGAAAAAGATTATGAAATTTATTTTTTGTTTCAGAACAAAGCCATACTGGACTTCCTGCTGTGTCCACCACAGTGAACCGAACATGGAATTTTTACGGTGGAAATCTATAGACTTACTGCTGTCCCAATAGGGGACAGATTGTGAAATAATTTTATAGTTTGATTGTTTTTTCAGATTGTTTTAAAATAATTCAGCACAAAGCTACACAAGGGCTATGTGTGCTCTGTCCACCACGGGTATCGAAACCCGGTTTCTAGCGTTGGAAGTCCGCAGACATACCGCTGTGCTACTGGGGGGCATTTATAGTTTGAAGTCTTCACTAATGTTCAGCGATTACTGTGTAACAATGGAAAGAAAACCATGCTTTGATTTGATAAGAGACAAGAAACAAAAAAGGTAATCAATTCTATTTTATATAGTTGTCTAAGTGAGGTCTTCTTCTTTCATTGTTAATTTTCTTTTAAAATGTCATATTCAAATCTGAAAAGAATAAGAAACAAGTTTCAAATATGACCAGAAAAATTAAATTCATTAATAATTATTGATTCCTTTACATGGTTTAGCATAATAAATGCTAATCACACAAATTAATTATTTAAAACTTTTATGAACCTATTTATTTCTCAAGTTAAGGGCACATTTTTATACTGTCCACTACTAGAGTGGTCCATATTTTACATTATATTCAGTAATTTTAAGTTTTTTGCCTGTTATAACACTCAGTGTAAAGAGCTGATAAAAAACATCACTCATTTTCATTTTCTTTGTACAACATACAGAAAACAATGAAGGAATTAGTGGAATCAAATGCAGTACTGATGATGTTTTTGATTGCTATATTTTTGTGTGAGTCATATATCATTATTGACCTTGAAACCAACAAGGTCATGACGCACTTGCAATTTGGTGAATAAATAATTTACATGTTTATAAAGTTAGACATTAACCCCCCTTCAGAAAAGGTGCCATAATTAAGTGTTTTTTTTTACTCTTTAATTGTGGATGGAACATGACCAGAAAAGGCTGGCAAGACTGGAAACATCCCAAACTCTCTCATTCGGTTTAAGATTTGATGTTGGAGTCTGAGCTGCTGCTGGTGCCAACTTGATGGTAAAGGTCCACCAAACTGCTGAATATTTCCCATTCTGTTCCTGAAAATTAAAAATCACATTACAATGTGTACTATTGCTTTAAGAACATCTAAGAATCACATTACAATGTGTCCTATTACTTAATAATATCTAAGAATCACATTACAATGTGTACTATTACTTAATAACATCTAAGAATCACATTACAATGTGTACTATTACTTAATAAAATCTAAGAATCACATTACAATGTGTTCTATTACTTAATAAAATCTAAGAATCACACTACAATGTGTACTATTACTTAATAAAATCTAAGAATCACACTACAATGTGTACTATTACTTAATAAAATCTAAGAATCACATTACAATGTGTACTATTACTTAATAAAATCTAAGAATCACATTACAATGTGTACCAGTATTTTAATAGCATTTAAGAATCACATTGCACTTGAAACTTTAGAAAAGGCTTAACTTGATTTCTGGGTTAGTATGTATAAAAATGTAGTAAGCAGGTGAAACCACAGAACATTTGCAAGACTAATTTCTGATTGGTCCACTGCACTATTAAAGCTGCTTATGCCCAGCATACAAGTTAAGCATCCACTGATAAGAAATACAAAATATCTTAAAAGAAGAGCCAATATAGTAACAAATATAAACTGACATTTTCATTCTGGAATGTAACATCTTAGTCTTGGTTTTCTTCTTCAAACAAGAGTACCTGTTTACCATCTGATCTGAAAGTACCACGATATTGAAAGTATGTAACATGGAACTTAAAAATAACATACACTAATAAAAGTTTCTCACCATGCCAGAAACGCTGGTCCAGTGATATAGTCATCAACACTTTTTTCTTCAAATCCTAACTTTAGAAATACCTGGCAAGAAGAATTTATTGAAAACATAGTTACTGACATATCAGTGATAGATGAAAATCATTACAATATCAAATACTCGTGGCAGGACAGTAAATCACGTGGTAAGACTCAATATACTGAATGTTTTGATTGGGGCTGACCTAAATCTTAAAAGCACCACACATTTATAAAGGGTACATACACTTAACCAGGAACAAAACTGTTCCAGGAATGTTCGTGACTTTTCCAGAATGAAATTATTTATTTTTCATGAACCCAGAAACCTCTTGAAACTTTAGAAAAGGCTTAACTTGATTTCTGGGTTAGTATGTATAAGAATGTAGTAAGCAGGTGAAACCACAGAACATTAGCAAGACTGATTTCTGATTGGTCCACTGCACCGTTAAAGCTGCTTATGCCCAGCATACAAGTTAAAGGTGATCACCACAACTGAGATGCTGTAATTCAAACTTAACTAACCAGCATAAACCACAAAGAATATGGTGTACATATAGTTTAAAAAAAGGTTTTAGAAGATGAGCACCAAACAGTAGCTCCAGGATCAACGAACACCATATCATAATTACAGTGCCGTGCCATTGTGAAGTTTCTAGAGATCAAAAGGAACGTCTGTCTTGACAAAATTTCTGGGTTTTATTAAACTACGATGAACATCAAAGTTATTAACACGATAATGATCAGTGTCATGCAACATGATTGATCAAATCAATTAATGTCATGAAAATAACCAAAATTAGTTTATTATTCCAACTATCTAAGTAACTGAAATATAGCAATTATGATATATTATTGTTATTATTAACCAATTCAAGGCTTTCAACATTAAGTGGTTAGTTTTACAACTCACAGAAATAACTGCCTATTCAAAATTAGTATTTTCGATTGCTACTATTTTTGATTATTCTAGTCATCCAAGTCTCACCAGAGAATAACTGATTAATAAGTCCAATGATTAATTGATTAGCACTAGTCACCCAGCTTAACTAACACGCTTATCATGTAATAACCATGATGTCCAAGCTTAAGTAACAATAACTTCCAACTGATAAGTACAAAATTTCATACATGAAATTTAGAAACTATTAAAATATTTTTTGCCATAAAAAAATCATTGATGATCATAATGAAGCTTATGTAGTATAAAAGAGTTGATTCTTTTCTTTTATGAAACTTCTCATCAAGCGAGCTATGTATGAAGCCCCATTTAATGACCTACTGTACTTACAAGATTTTGAAATTATTAAAAACCAACCAGAATTTTGGTTGTTCTTAGTAACTTTTACACAAACTGGTTAAAAGGATGGTAAGAAAATCGTTAGAGAGGAATAGTAATATAAAATTTAAAATTTTCGATAGACTATGGTCAAGGTCTGTTCCACAAAGTCACAATCAAATCTACAGTTACTTCTCAAGGCTAGTGACCAGCTTTTCCTAAACTCAAAACACGCCTCAGTGTATTTTTTTTGGACAAACTGTAATTTGTTTTTAAAAAAGAATCATACAGAGTCCACCTTAGTAGTTAGGGATTAACTATGTATACAAGTGGGGGTAACGCTATACATAATTAATAAATTTAAAAACACCATTTAAGTTAGGAAAAAGTTAGGCGAGGTCAGGTCTGATAAGATTAGAAAAGGTCAGGTAAGATAAAGTGAGGTCAGGTAACAGAAAAGTACAAGAATAAGTTTTACCAGCCAGTAAAATAAACTTCCACATAAGTTGTTAAACATTCTAAAATTAGAAGTTACAATCTCCAAATTTTTTGTTAGAAAGCAAGCAAAATTAGAATAATCTAGACCTAATGATTTTATTCACCATATATACAGAATGAAGAATTCCAAAAATTATGGAACTAAAAGTAAATGCAAATTAATTGTTTTGTCTTTCTTTTATATAATCTCTTTTCCATTCTTTAACAAAGAAGTAAACTTTACACACAATACTAACCCGTTTCAACACTATTTCCTGACCAACAAAAGCCAATGGTAGATTAATCCTGTTGAGGGCCATCCAATCAAGTTCTTTCTCCCATCTCGTCCAGTTCCACCAAACAGTGGAATAACTGAACGTGCACACATTCATGTAGTATGTAAACCTAATACACAATAACACATTAAAAACACAGACAACTAACTACTAACACTAAATCCAATGTTCTCTAAGTGTATAGAGTATGTAAACCTAAACAATACACAATAAAAACACAGACAACTAACTACTAACACTAAATCCAATGTTCTCTAAGTGTATAGAGTATGTAAACCTAATACACAATAACACAATTTAAACACAGACAACTAACTACTAACACTAAATCCAATGTTCTAAGTGTATAGAGTATGTAAACCTAATACATAATAACACAATAAAAATACAGACAACTAACTACTAACACTAATTCCAATGTTCTCTAAGTGTATAGAGTATGTAAACCTAACACACAATAACACAATAAAAACACAGACAACTAACTACTAACACTAAATCCAATGTTCTAAGTGTATAGAGTATGTAAACCTAACAGACAATAACACTATAAAAACACAGACAACTAACTACTAACACTAAATCCAATGCTCTCTAAGTGTATAGAGTATGTAAACCTAATACACAATAACACAATAAAAACACAGACAACTAACTACTAACACTAAATCCAATGTTCTAAGTGTATAGAGGATTGTGCAGTACATGACTGTTTCTGTATAAGTCTGGGAAGTTTGCAATATCACAGTATAACTTGTGATCACATTTTTCATTGGAAATATTATATTACATATAATTCCTTTCTTTCTTTGCATAATATCAATCAAAGCGAGAGAATTTTGTAATAATTTTTATCTTGCATGTATTACACATATGGTGTTTAACTTGTTGGCACCAGAGGGGTGCCATCGAGGTCCCGATTTTTATTTTTCTTACAATGGCGACACTTAGCCAAGTTGCATGAAACTTCAGACAGACTTTGACTTCAAAACATTAGTATCATTTAAATCAATATTTCTTTCATTTTTTTTACATTGTGAAATTTTCCTAAATTTTGTTGTGAGACACAATTAAAAAAATATTAAAAATATTTCATACTAGAATTTCAATTTTGTTTTTGACACTGATCAAAAAGTTCCATTTTATATATTCAGTCCCTTTCAACTAGGATTGAAAGTTATTAATATATTTCTAATGATTCTTTATTCTGCCAGTTACAACACTCACCACTTTTGGTTTTAAACTGTAAAAAATATGGCAAAAACTTAAAAACAACAACAACAACAAAAAAAGAGTTATCAGAACCCCCCCTGGGCCTTGCCTTCCAAAATCGAATCATCATTACCTTCATCAGGCTAGCTAACAACATATCTGTTGACAGTTCTTTTGGAAAAAAATATTTATTTCTAATAAAAAATAGTTTCTTTTAAATAAAATGTAAGCTAACTTACTTATGAACATTATTTGGATATGATAAGTTTAAAAATAATATTCAATAAATACAGATACAAGTAACAAGAACATTTTACTTACTAAACCTAACTAAGATTACCTTATGTCTTCTCATCAAAGAAAATCTCTAGCTTTCATTTAACATGCAAACACTTCCACGAACAAACAGAACATTTAAATAAAACTGTGTTTTTTTCCGTAGTCTTCAAACTTTCAAATTGAATGTCTTTGACTAGCAAATTCACTTTGAAATACTTTAATTACCCTATTATGATTTGAAAAGTCTAAACTTTGCTCTATCCAATCATATCTAATCTTTTTTGAACCTTTTTTTCAGAAATACTGTATTACATTAATAAATGTTCAAACCACTTGATCTGATATTATAAAATGTGACTATCAAGGTGTATATGGGAAACAAGATTGATGTCAATAATAATGGCTGAAGACGGCTTGACTGGGTAATGAAGAAAACTTTGGGTAAACAAATTTAATATAAAACATCCAATAAGTGCACTGTTTACAGACAAGACTTTTGGGAGCTGAAAAGAAATGAAAAATTGGCAATTTTGTTTCATTTATCTTCTTGAATTACACTAAATAAAAAAATACAAATTTTAAAATACTTCTAAGTTGAAATTTGTTAAAATAGAGTTATAATTATAATTTTTATGTGAAATTTGAAATGCATGTCATGTTTGGGTTAAAATTAGTAATATCACTGAACCAAGTTCAAGTATCACAGCAACGATACACACGAGACGTGAATCTAGTTTAATTTATACATCTTCCTTACTTATCATTAGAAGTGACCAACACAGGAGTCTCGGGTTGAGGAAGAAGTTTTGGAAGCTTGAGTTGGACACCAGACCATGACACATGACATCCACAATAGATCTTCAAGTAGTAGTGAAAACCCCAGGCTGCTGCCACGCCACTACTTCCACTAACTTGGATACTTCCATTAACTGATTTTAGCTGAATTAAAAAAAGAAGCTTTTATAAGTTCAGTCTAATTTAACAGAGTGAAAAGAATTACTCAAACTGTTACTCACTCCCACGTGTACTAATACTGGGTCAGTATCAAACTGGTACTCACTCATACATGTATGTACTACTACTGGGTCAGTATCAAACTGTTACTCACTCACATGTAATACTACTGGGTCAGTATCAAACTGTTACTCACTCACATGTACTACTACTGAGTCAGTATGAAACTGTACTCACTCACATGTACTTCTACTGGGTCAGTAGAGTGAGTAACAGTTTGACCATGTACTACTACTGGGTCAGTATCAAACTGTTACTCACTCCCATGTACTACTACTGGGTCAGTATCAAACTGTTACTCACTCCCATGTACTACTACTGGGTCAGTATCAAACTTATTGACTTATCTTTCACATTAAACCAAAATCTATTGTGTTTGGTTTAAAGTTATGCATTAGTTGTGAATTAGTTATCCAATTAATGTCCAGTTAAAATTTATATCTTAACCATGAAATTACTGACTTGTCTTCATATTATTTACTATATGTGAACTCTACTTATTATACCATACTCAGTGATTTTAAATGTTGCTATTACAACACATAGTGTAAAGAACTGACCAAAGACACTGGTTGAAACAACTCACTTCGTAAGTACAACATACAGAGGACCACACCAATCATAAGAGGAATTGAGTGAAGTATTTACAATATTTTTGTTTGCCTTTATCATATGGCTTTTATGTTATTAGAAATCCTGTAACCAACAGTCACAATCCAACAACAATTTGGTGCATAAAATGTTTAAACAAAAAAAAAGTGTTTACAAAAACCAAAGGGACCATTCTGGTGATTCTAAGGTTAAGAGTTGAATTTGGAACTAGTTGATTTAAACCAGATGAACATAAAATAATATTTACATGACCTTCAAGAATGATCTTTTGTATTAATAAGAGTTGGGTACGATGAACTTACCACAAATATGGAAATAGTTCAAAACTGACTCAAAAGAATTAACATATAATGTTATTTTACAGGACTATTTTTCAAAAAGTGTTAGTAAAAGTTGACCAACGTACAGACTGAATGTATCGTGACACTAACGGATAAATAAAGCCTTTCTATTTTTCAGCTTGTTGAATTGAAATGCATAACTTAAAATGAAGACAGTCATGAGAAAATTATGCCAAAAATATTTAAGCACATGGCAAAGAATACTGAAAAGTAAGAAAGCACTCAATGCTAAAAGAATGCATTCGAAACCATTTAGTGAACTGGAGAAATTAATAACATTGATCAAAGTAAAAAATTCCCTTTAATTTGAATTTATGTGGTTTAAGTCAGTATAGAGAATACAACCTAAAACTTTTATACAGAGAAATGTTGAATGAAGAATATAAAAAATTAAATGTTTGATAATATTAATTAAAAATTTTTGTTACAATAAAAATGGGGCTAATTATTTTTTGGGGGTTTTAAAGAATAAAATACAAATTGATCACACACAAATCTGTCATTTTTTCAATATTAATTGACATAAAGTCAACAACCTTACTAAAATGAAAAGTATAAAATATTTCCAAATGAATAATGGAAAAATCACAAAACAAATCTAGCACAAAATCTACAAATAATAGCACTTTTTTATTGTAATTTAAGCCATTTTTGAGCTATTTTTAGTATTATGTCCCCTCAGAGTTACCACTGAGCCATCAAATGGTTAAAAGCACTGACACAACAAAACATATCAACATGAGACAAGAATGCTTCCATCATAAACTGTGTGAAAAATTCAGTTAAACAACATGCCAACACAATGTAAACTGATGTAAGAAACTGCAGAACAAAATAGTCACACTGGTGAAGTGCAAACACAAAGTCTCATCATCGAAGGATGATTTCATAAATCATGAAATTATAAAAACAATATGTATGTAAACAGATGTAAATGTTCATATAAGCAATTCTGAGAAAACATAAAACTCAGAATTCGAGAAGGCAAAAATGAGCATCTCAACTCTTAACAGCAAAATAAAAAATTTGAAATGACTGTTGAACTCTAATCATTTGTCCCATTGAAAGGAGTTATTTTCTGAATTTTGTGGAAAGCTACTCAAGGATTATCTGCACTAGCCATCCCTAATTTTGAAGTTAAAGACTAGAAGGAAGGTAGCTAGTTGACACCACCCACTGCCAATGCTTGAGCTACTCTTACCAATGAATTGTGTGATTGATTGTCCAATTATAATGCCTTCAAGTTTACAGGGTGAGCACATTATGTGACGGGGAATCAAACACTTCACCCACATGCCGTGATTCAAGTGCCTTAACCACCAGGCCATATTAGGTCTTGTTTTAAACACTTCACCCACATGCCCTGAGTCGACTGCCTTAACTACTAGACCATGTCAGATCTCATTTCAAACACTCCACCCACATACTTTGAGTTGAGTGCCTTAACTACCAGGTCATGTCTGATCTCATTTCAAACACTCCACCCACACATTGTGAATCGAGTGCCTTAACCACCAGTCCAAGTCAGGTCTTGTTTAAGATTTACCACCTTCAAATGATGGCTAAACTGAGTGAAACTGATACCACATGAAGGTCGTGTACCAACTAACTATCAAATAGATTTATACCATTACTTTATAAGCCTGCCACTGTTAGGTACCTTTGTCGGTAATTAACAATCAAACAAAGAAAACAGGACATCTCAAAATCAAGGGAAAACAATTTATCAAAAACATTATCACTGGAAAAGGATAAAAGAAAATGTCAAAATAATAATAATTAAAATAAAAACAACTTACAAGCTCATTAACTAAATCAAGAGAATCAAATAACAAACTTGAATTCCAAGAAAGAGATAACATCTGAAAGGTAGGTCAAAATTGTAAATTAATTCAACACATTAAAAGAGATAAAATTTGAAGGTAGGTGAACATTGTGAATTAATTCAACACATCCAAAGAAATAACATCTGAAAGGTAGGTCAACACTGTGAATTAATTCAACACATCCAAAGAGATAACATCTGAAGGTAGGTCAACACTGTGAATTAATTCAACACATCCAAAGAAATAACATCTGAAAGGTAGGTCAACATTGTGAATTAATTCAACACATCCAAAGAGATAACATCTGAAAGGTAGGTGAACATTGTAAATTAATTAAGCTCATGCAAAGAGATGGCTTGTATCAATTCCATAGCTTGCAGATTTTAGCCCTGTTTTTGAAATTCACAATTTTTGGAGTCTCAGTATAAAGTTTTAAATTAAAATTCTATCATATACATAAAACAATGCTGGTAGTCAACATCTGTAATAAATGCACTCAATTACTTCAAATGTATCCTGATCTTTTGGTCCCAGATCCAAATCCACTTTAACTTTGAAACTTTCTGAATGAAATGGAAGAAGGCGTCTGATCAGGTTCCTAACAGCATCTTCTTGAACTTTGGGGGAGGATGATGCTTGGATGTCCGGAATTACAGTGGAAGCTGTAATAAAGTTTTTTCCAAAGATGAAAATATGATAGAAAAAACAATACTGTTAAAAAAAAGAACAGAGCTATATAACACAAGGTTAATCAATCAAAGTAACTAATCAAAAAATAAATAAATATATGAATATTTTAGATTTGCTCTTCATATACTACTTAACCCTTTCCCCTGTTGTAGGTCAAAGAATGGATACACTTATCTGACTACTTACCCAAGAAGGTATGGGTGAAACATATCCTTCTTGTGTTATTGAAAGAAAGTATACTGTAAAGTTCTAGCAACTAAAAATCTTAGGTTTACATTTTCTCTTGGGCAAAAGTAACTTAATGTATCATCATTCACATATGTTTTGAATGTCACATGCTATGTTCATATGAAGCTCCCTTCTAATCTTATACGTTGAACCAAAACAACCAGTTCTTACTGCCACGTTCACGAGCATCGAATGTATATCAAGTAAATGTAGCTGAGCATCACATATAATACTCAGGTGCTTTATCATTATGTCCTGTGTGAACCACACATGATGCAGAAGACAGGGATAGGGTTAATACAGAAATGAACAAGACTTTTGTTGTCAGCCTGCAGATGAAACATAAGCCTATTTTTTTTTGGTAATGATGGTACTAGTACATTCAATATTTTTTATTTATTCCAAATATGTACTTAGAAACACAAAATAATAGCATGCCCAAAGCTCACAATGTTCTATAACTATTACAATTTAACTGGCTTTCTTACTAAGGTATAAGTGTGTTAAAATAATTCCCTTAGCTATTCGATCTGAACTTGGAGATATTAACTTTCAACCTGTAGGTAAAATAACTAAAAATCTCTAATGAGAATAACATTGCATTATACATTATTCAGTAAATTAAAACTTTGTCTGTCTATTGTTTATAAATGATGTAATAGCAAATGTCAGAAGTACTGGCAATTCGTGAAAGGGATGATTTGATAGGTGGCGTAACAAGCAGGTCTGACTTTTTAATATATGTCTATTAATTAGACTATGCTTTAGTAATATCCATACTATAACAAGTAATTTAAACTCAGGACATTACAGAGGGGTGATGAAAAAACATATGGACAAGTTAGAGTGTAAAAATGTTACGATACAACTACAAGAGAAGATTGAAAATTTATTTCAATTTTCTTCTTAAAAATAAGATCGTAAAATCTATATAATATTAAAACTTGACTTATTAACTATATTTTGATGATAAAGTAGCTTAATTATAATTTTAATGTAACTCTGTAAAAGGCATGACACGTGCACTTCAATCTACCTGTAGAAATAAGGTTATGTAATCATTTTAGTAACTCATTATTCAAGTCATGATTGAACAGAACTAGTTTCTTGTGTGTATTAACTAGTGATCCATTTTAGTAACTCATTATTCAAGTCATGATTGAACAGAACTAGTTTCTTGTGTGTATTAACTAGTGATCCATTTTAGTAACTCATTATTCAAGTCATGATTGAACAGAACTAGTTTCTTGTGTGTATTAACTAGTGATCCATTTTAGTAACTCATTATTCAAGCCATGATTGAACAGAACTAGTTTCTTGTGTGGATTAACTAGTGATCCATTATTAGTAACTGAATATTCAAGCCATGATTGGACAGAACTAGTTTCTTGTGTGGATTAACTAGTGATCCATTATTAGTAACTGAATATTCAAGCCATGATTGGACAGAACTAGTTTCTTGTGTGGATTAACTAGTGATCCATTTTAGTAACTGAATATTCAAGCCATGATTGGACAGAACTAGTTTCTTGTGTGGATTAACTTGTGATTCATTACAGAAAATTACAGACTCGTAAAAGAATGTGAAAACTCAAATGCACTCAAACCTGAAAGAAATACTGACTTATGCTTGTAATATGTGGATAATTTCAAGAGGAATACAAGGTACAAATGGATTTGAAAATTTGAGATGTACAAGGTTCATAACATATTATGTGGTCTGTCATAAAATATTCCAAACGAAGTAGAAGAATGATAATGTTTACCTGATGAACAATAAGGAACTGCTGGTTAAAATTAATAGCACGAGAAACTGGTATCAGAGAGAAAAAAAACTTATGATCTAAAAGAAGAAACTCTTGAAAGATAAAAGCATTCATTATTCAATGATGCCATACCAGTAAGATTGGTAACAACTAAGACTGTTACCAGGTATATACAAAAACAATTTATAAACTGCATTATTTAAAACCAGTATTCTTTCATTTTTGTTAAGAAACGCATTCTAATGTGAATGTTTTCACTTTCAGTACAACATTTTCATGCGTGAAAATAGGATGCTTCTTCCAAGTTATACAGCAAATTATGAGCTAAATAAACAGCCTGACATTAAATTGGAAGGATTATCAGTAATTATATTTCTGATGAGACAAAAGTATTAATCTTGTTTCAACACTATTATTTTATATTGAAGTCCCTTAGGGTTTTTTGAGGAAGAAGAGGGTATAACAGTATTTCAACCACACTATGCACCTATATCCAGACCCGGCATGGCCAGGTGGTTAGGGCGCTCGACTCGTAATCTGAGGGTCGCGGGTTCGAATCCCCGTCACACCAAACATGCCAACCTCCGCCTTTGCCTGGTCCCAAGTCCAGGATGAGAAAGGAGGAGGGTTGGGCGCGGGGCTAGCAACTCCACCCCGTAAAAACCAACCTGCTACAAGTAACTGCAACAACAACTTCCGTTGGCGAGCTGTTATCGTGGCCCTATGCTCCACTGGGAGTTTACAGGAATAAAAAAATAAATAAACAAAATGCACCTATATCTACTGCTGGATTACCATATATGTATCATGACAACCAGATAAAATTATAACATTTTTATGATAACACTGTAAGATTAAGGTCATTAAAGAAAATAGAATTATAAATGAAAAACAAAGTCTTGAAAGTTTTTCATGTGATAGAACATTAATATTTAACAGCAAATGCTGTATACGTATATATTAAATCTATTTTTTTTAGAGATGATGTATTTTTGGAACAAATGGGAATGATCAACTAGATAAAGTAACAGATGTTCAGCAAGAATTACTTCTTTATTGATAGTACAAGAGTATGAGAAGTACAGTTATTGTTGGCTGTTTATAAAAATGGAAACTTCCAGTTAAATCAACCTGAGCTATCCGACCTGGAAGACAGAAGGTTAGGGTAGCAATTACTAAAACTGGTCTATTGTGTTGCTTTTACATCCTATGTGTTAGAACTACGATTTGTGTTACTCACCTGCTTTGGCCATATAAACATCAGAAAGGATGGAAAAACAAACGCACAGCAACAACTGTAAAATATCATACAGCAAACATGTTACATAAAATTGTCACTACCAACAAATAAGAATTTCACATCAAAATAATAAAATTTGAAAGAAAACTTCGAGTTCTCCGTAGATCAAAGTGAAATGCTTGAAGAGCATAAAGGATTTAGAACCATAATTTTATATATTTAAGACTAAGATATGTGTGTGAATGTGTATGAATATGTGTGTGTGAGGATTCTCCCAAGTTATGTTCTGTAACATTCTGGTCTTTGAAGGTTCGGGACACATTACCAAACGAAGATTTAAAATTACAACTGCACTAATTCGTATAATTTACTGGTGACGTAATATACCCACTGGTTCATGTTTGATTGAAAATCTTAGTTTATTACAAGTAATCCATATCAATGAATAAAATACTGACAGTTAGATTTTTATATAGAAAAGTAAACATGTTTTCATAATGCAAATAAAAGTGCTTGTAACTGATGCTGCTTGTGATATACAAAAATCTTGCTTTACAGGGGCACCTTACTGCAGACAGTTAACTGTGGGTGAATTAGGGACAACAGATTTATTTAACAGTCACAGGGAAACAGCTTTATTTAACAGTCACAGCTGACTTAGACAAATCAAAGCTTTATTTAACAGTCACAGCTGACTTAGACAAAACAAAGCTTTACTTAACATACTTACTTAGAGAAGACAAAGCTTTATTTAACAGTCACAGCTACTTAAACAAAACAAAGCTTTACTTAACATGCTTACTTAGAGAAGACAAAGCTTTATTTAACAGTCACATCTGACTTAGACAAAACAAAGCTTTACTTAACATGCTTACTTAGAGAAAACAAAGCTTTATTTAACAGTCAAAGCTGACTCAGACAAATCAAAGCTTTATTTAACAGTCACATCTGACTTAGACAAATCAAAGCTTTATTTAACAGTCACATCTGACTTAGACAAAACAAAGCTTTACTTAACATACTTACTTAGAGAAGACAAAGCTTTATTTAACAGTCACATCTGACTTAGAGTAAACAAAGCTTTATTTAACAGTCAAAGCT